GATGGAGGCACCAGCAGGGGGAGGGGAGGGCGATGGACCAGGGGTCGCCTCTCCAGCAGCCTCGCCTTGGAGAGGCTGGTGCAACTTATCGGGTGCAGGGGGGATGTGTCAGGCATCGCCATCAGAGGTTCTGAGCACCACCTTCCTGCCTGGTTTCCCACAACACGCACACCTAACATCGCCAAGACTACATAGCTGCTTTTGGCCCTGGCCCACGGATTCGAAACGCGACTCGTCGGTCTGGGGATCTTCCTCGGCATCGTTGCCAGGAACATCGTGCCCGCACGAATTGGGATCTTGGGGGCTACCCTCAGGTTCCCTTAGGACGTTCCCTTCTACTTCAGAATACTTCCCTACTTCAAGACCTGTTTTAGATCACAGATCACCGACACACGTCTCGAACTGATGCGGTCTGATCTCGCTACTTCGCGCACTCTTCCCGGCTCTATTGGCACTCTTCCTGTTAGTTTTGAAGCATTCTTGGGGCGCCGCGCGGGGTCTAACAGACTAAGGCAAGTTACGAGGCATGTCGAGATATCTGCACAAGACTTGCTCTCCAGATGTCCTCAGCTTGACCAGCAATATGACGCGAGGTTTCCAAAGGACCCGAACGACAGGAGAGATGCCCAGAATGTACGGTTTCGTAGTCTCCGAACATCGCATGTAATCGATGATGGCGCTTTCGTTGGGGCCAGTGTTGTGCGTCAGCTCGATGGTTGCAGTGAGCATTGAAACGCCATTTCGAATCCTCGATAACTTTTGACTTCACCATGGCAACACCTGAACCATTGAAATCGCAAACCACAAACCATTCAAGCTGGATCGCATTCAGCAGTGCGCCTGGGCGTTGAGAGCGTCCTAAGCTGATGCCATTGCAACCCATAGAAGGGCATGCATAACATACGATTGCCAAGGACATGCATAACATACGATTGCCACGATGTTGTAGCCCGTCATGTTGATAGCCGCCGCCGCAAAATTGTCCAGCTCTTTGTGGCCTGGGGCGGCCAGAGGTACAGCAGCTGCCGAGCTGAGAAGAGGTCGAAGCTGAAGATTGCTCCTAGCCATCAGCCACTCGCCACCTTCGTTCGACCTCAGCTGGTGCGCCGTTGTTACACTCTTGTGCTTGCGACGACGAGCCGCATTCGCATCTAAACCAAGTCCAGCACCACGAGGTTTCTTGTTCTATATTACCACTTCTGACGCACCATCGTGCGTGTAAGCGATCCCAATGAAATCGAACGGCTGCTCACAAAAGGAACGCCATGCTGTGCCTCCAGTATTGGCAATGCTGGAATAGTTAATGTCAACTTCGTCCCCCTTCCTGCCGATGCCCTCTTCGACGTTGGAGCCGATCGTGCCCGCCACGACCGAACTCCTCCTCTGATTGCCAGACCCTAGTCAATACGGGCTGCCCGCGACAAGGACTTTCCCAACCTGTAGTTTGCGGTTGCTTATGCCCTTGCCCATGATCTTGGTTTCCTTTGCTTCCTGCCCCGCAAGGATAATCTTCTGAGCCTCGAGTTTGGTTGCCGTGATGTTCTCTGCTGCTAGGGTCAGTTGTTGATCCTCGTCTGTTGCACCAGAAGTTGCGGAAGTTGCGCTGGCCGCCGAAGAATTTCCCGCCGTGCCCTCTGCTGAGTCACGCTGTTACTTGGGCTCCTTATCGTCGACCGCAATATCTGCACCATGCACTGGACTAGGGGGCTGCCTTGTCCATCCTCCTCTCCTTGAGCGCGCGGTCGTGGATTGCCTTCCGAACAGCTTCAGCTTTCTCCAACCAACTCGGTAACTCGTGACTGCCCTTTCCTTCTCCGTGAGCAGGCCTCGCAAACCGTCGAGGCCGACTTGGAGCTGCTTGAGATCGGATCGCCCCGACTCCTCGCACTCGAGCTCGCCTAGCCCATGGAACAGCCCGCTTTTCCGCTTGAGCACGGAGCTGGGGGCCTCGACGTCGTCGCAGCCGATGCCCTCCGCAATGGCCAGCGCCGCCGCCGCCTCCGTCTTGCTTCTCCCAGCCCGCGCCAAGAGCAGCGCAGCCGCACGTTCACGTTCCCGAGCCACTGCGAGCGACTCCCGCGGCCGCACCACGTTCGCAATGGCTTGCGAGTGCTTGTGGTCTGCGCCCTTCGAGGCCCCAACGGCTCGCTTGACCGCATCTTCTATTGAGTGGTCGCATTGCTGACGTGTCGGTGGTAATTTCCTCACATGTTTCTGCCAGACGATTTTCAGCTCATGGTCGTCGGTTTCTTTGAACGGCTGCTGCAAGGCATTGACATCGCCCTTTAGCCTTGTAGCTATACCCTCGGTCCCCTTGCCACCACGACGGTTGCCCTCGACATGATTGGGCTGCTCATGGCTGGTAGTGTTGGTCCCGGATTGAGGCTCGTGCAATCAAATTTGCCGATTGCATTCAACGCACGAAAGGTTCTTGGCAGTGAGTCGTTCGTTCCACTCGCACCGACCGTGCCCACCGCATCAGGACCACAGACAAGACCTGGCCTCCATCGATGCGACTTCTGCTTCAGTCGTCACCTCCAGCTGTGAACCAGCCTGGGTGAAGTGCCCCCGCACCACGTGCATGCATAGAAGTCAGGCTCCCTCCCGCAAGATGAGTTCGATCCTAAGTTGCTTGAGAGAGGAGGGAGGGGAGAGAAGGGAGAGAGGGAGGAGGGAGGAGGGATGGGGGAGAAGGGGGGAGGAGGAGCAGGAGGAGGTAGGAGGAGGGAGGAGGAGCTGAGGACGAGGAGGAGGAGGAGGAGGGGGGAGGAGGAGGACCAGTGGAAACCCAAGACCCATCAACGATGTTGGAATAAACCCTCTCTCCAAGCTCCCTCTTCACAGGCCCCTACAGGGGTTCCTTGCCACCGAAGGAACAGCCTCGTTGGGAGACAACCGTTTGAAGACCCTGAGGCGTGCCAAATCACCATTCTCGGGACTCCAATGCCACGAATCAACATGATTGTTGCGTCTCGGCGATTCGGAACCGTGCCAGGAATCCATTCCTGGGACGTCAACACCGCGAATCAACGTAACTGGTTCGCCCGTACAGCCCTGAATCCTTCCAAAACAGAATCTCTGGCACGTTGACCGTGCGAGTGCGTGAAACTCTCTGCAAATGTTTGAAGCACATGGGCGCGGTGCTAAGGCGAGAGCCACAGGTGGACAAGGAGCCATCCTCAATCCGTGAAGCTCTTGCAAATTCTTAGAAATGAATGCGCGCGGCGCTAAGGGGAGAGCCACATGCTGAAAAACGCTTGCCCTCAATCCGCGAAATGCTTGCAAAGTTTGAAAATGAATGTGCGCGGCGCTCAGGCGAGAGCCACATTTTGAAAATCACCAGCCCTCAATCCGTCACGCTTTTTCAAGTTTCAACAACGAATGCGCCCTCCGCTAAGGCGAGATTCACATGTTGGAGATGGACCCGCCCTCAATCCGTGAAGCTCTTGCAAACGTTTACGAATGTGCACGACGCTAAGGCACGAGCCACTGTTCGGAAGCGACCCGCCCTTCATGTGTGAAACCGTTGCAAGCTTCTGAGCTCCAGGGTCATATATGCTCAGGAGGTCTCAGGCGAAACGCCCAGCCCACCCTTTCGACCGGCCTCGGGGTGCGACAGGGAGGAGTTACCTATAAACCAAATGAATGAAAGAGAAGGACGAGGAGGCACCGTCTTTGAAGTTTGTTTTGCGCCTCGCCTTGCTTCGGGTCTCTGGGGGCCTCCCGAGACCCACGGATACCTCGGGGGACTTTCGGGGCAGGAGGAGGACTTGAGCGGGGAGAACGGGGGGCGAGGAGGAGAACTAGGAACAGATGGGCCCACCGAAGGGGGGATACGGCCAGGAGGGCCTCGGCGCTGCAGGCGGAAGGAGGGGAGGCAGGGGAGGAGAAGCAGAGGGAAGAGAAGGACAATGAGGAGAGGAAGAAGGATACCAGTTTAGAGGAAAGCGGGGGGAGGAGGAGGAGCAGGAGGAGTAGAATGAGGAGCGTGGCCTGGAGCGCGGGGGATCATGAAGTGAGTGAGTGGGAGTGGGATTGAGGAATGCAGGAAGGGAGAAGCGGGGATAATGAGGAGATGGGGCAGTGGAGGATGAGGAGGAGGAGGATGAGGACGCAGTTGGAGGAGATGGGCAATAGGAGGGATAGTGGAGGAGAGGACATGGGAGATATGATGATAATAGCAGTACCACTAATACTGAATAATGATGATGCTGACGATGATGATGAGGAGGAGGATGAGGATGCTGATGCTGATGCTGATGC